CAGAGATGTTTGAAATATAGACTCAATAGAGCAACTGCTCAGGTATGGGAGATGAAGAGCAGAGAGAGGCAAAGGGAGAATGTGGCAGAAAGTTGGTTTCTATTTTCTCCTGTAGTATGAATGAGAAAACTAAAGCTCAGAGAAATTGAAAGGCCCATCCTTAGCCACATAACTAGTAAGGAACAGAGTCAGGATCTATTGCCAGATCCATCTGTCCTGTGCCTTTCCCAGTACATCACACCCTCCCCCTTCCAGCCGTTGTCTGCAGGGCCGGTTCATGAGCCTAGTCACCTTTTTCCAGATTCCAGGCACTTAGGTTCTTGAATTAGCTTCCCCCCACATCCTATCCCTACCCCACCCCGCACCCCCACCCCACCCCCACCCCACCTGGGTGAGGAGTCCCTTCCAGGGCTTCTAGAGCACTGTTTACTCCCACACTCCCCCAGGGTGGACTCACTCACCAGCTTTGCCGATTCATTCTTTTTGACCTAAGGCCAAGCCCTCTGAGGCAGTTGCTCAGGAGGCAGGTCCTCTCTCACTAGTTGTGCCCGTGAACCCAGCAGCTGTCTCCTAAGAGAGAGTTACCCCAGTAAGTGAAACTCACATGGGAAAACGTGGCCCATAGGGGGTGCTGGGGTGATGCAGGTTGCTTCAGTTCTACCTCAGAGGATACTAGGAACCAAAGAAAATGCTGGAAGGAGGACACAGACTTGGGTCCCTGGACTTACTGTTCTCCCGCAGGCTCCTCTCCCCTCCCTTCCATGTGGAATTGTTGGAACCTCGAGGGAGAAATGATACACCGAGCAATGAAGTGGGAGTTCACAGTATTTGCACTTTTCACAATCTAGCACCTTTGGCCTCCGGGGGAAAAAATTTCAAATTATATTGGAGCTTGAAAATAAAGATTTTTCACCTTTTCTTTTTTTTTTTTTTCCTGAAGTGTTGAGAGACCCTTCAAAATGGAATCTCATTCCAGATACTGTGAATCACACCATGCAGTGTTGTGTAGAGGTTTGCTCAGGGGCCTAAGCCTTGAGTAATGATACACTAAAAATCAGTGAGATGACAGAAAAGTGACAGCTCCTCATCTGCTATCAGTCACTGTGGCACCAGAGAACACAACCCGCTCCTCCTGATATGTGGCACCTCAAAGGATTTTTTTCCACGAAACAAATTATCCTGGAAGGCTATTAAGTCCCCATTCCCCATTGTTTTTTATTTAAAAGTCATAAGTTAAGGCCACGAAGACATGGAAGTGACAGTATATGAAAATTCATATTCCCACTAACAGATTTTGTGCCTTCTTTGCAGTGATAAAAATCACTTTGTTCTCCAGTTTGGAGCCTTGGGAAGAATCAAGCCATTGTGTAGATTACTTAAAATTCCACAGTGCCTGCACCATTTGGCCAAAGAATGCTAAAAATTTGCAGCTGTTGCTCCCACGAAAGGTTTCTAACAGGGGCAGCGGCTGCTGTTTAACACACAGCTGTTGTTAATTTGAGCTGAAGATTTTTAATTGCCTCTGTGTCAAGATTTATTAAATAACATTTTAGAGGAACAAAAACTATAATAGTCATATTAGTGGGATGCTGAAGAAAGAAAATAATTAGAATACAGCATTTTTGCCCTGAAAGCCAAGTCTGAAAATATCTTTCCACATCACCGGCTTCCAGCCATCCCAGGAAAAGAGTTTCCAGGTAAATCCGGCCACAGAAACCCCCGTGGCCTCTGCTGGAGCCCAGCCTCTTGTTCCCGTTACTCCTTCATCTGGAAGCACTTCTTTCCTGAGTGGCCTTCTCTCTCGTTCCCACACTCTCCTTTTCTGTTATCTCAGGAGACAAGAGACATAGTTTTAGCTATGTAACTTTAGTTAGCGATTGGCTGCTCCTTCTGAGTGCCCTGCATTATTTTTGCAGGATTTGTAATTGCTGTTTTCCTGTCTGTTCCAGCCAGCCCATCCGTGACAATAAGGAAGGACTGAACCCTTCCCATTTGCCTTAGAACATCCTCATGGAGGAGTGGGAGATAGAAAATGAGGGTTCCCTTCCCTGGATGTTCTGCCTAAGCACAGGGGAGGGGACAGGAGGCACTGCTACTAGTGAAGGGGTTAAGACACAACCTATGAAGCTATCCACAGCCACTGCAGCACAAGTTTGAACCCCAGCCAGGGAGCTACCCACATGATGCAGCAGACCTCTCCTCTCCACCTGCTGCTCCCCTCAGCAGTGTATTTCATCAGTCTTTAAAAAATAATAATAATAACGAGGGGCAACAACTCATGTCCCACAAGAGGGAAGCTCTTCCAATTGTCCCAAGAAAGGAACTTCAAGATCCAGGAGAAGTGCCAAATATGCCTTACATCCTCATGAGCATGCTAGAATCTCAATCGTGTTTTGCATTTCAGTGTTAAGCATTTCCTTTTAACAGAAAAACCTTAATCCAACAGGAATTTATGGAGTGCCAGCTGGTGCGAGGTGCTGTGCTAGCGCAGCAGAGGGTCTAGCGAAGGACCTGGAGAGCGAAAGCCACAGACGTCCAGGACACCCTTCAAAAGATTTATTTTATTTATGGTGGTGCAAGGGGTTAAGTCTCAGCCCTACAAAGCTATCTCTCGCCAGGACACCCTTTAAACCACTCACTCCAGCAGAGGCTGTGGTGAGAGGGCTGATTCCTGCAAGAGGGGGAGCAGCTGACGTAAGCCTCAGAGATCAAGAGGATCTTGCGAGAGAAGAAGCGCTGAGGACTTGGAAGAGCAATAGCCCAGCGGCCAGGAAAAATATGTCTTGTTGAAGGAACAGCATGTGGTTGCACATGGCAGTGTTGCACAAGGATAAGAAATGAAAAAGTTTGGAGAGCTAAAACGGGAGTAGATGGTGGAGGAGGGAAATGCCATTATTGAATACTGTGGAGCAGAGAAGTAACGTGCTTTCTCGGCAGGTCATCCTGCTGGCAGGTAGAAGTCCAAACCCCCATGCAGAGGCAGATGTGGGTTAAACACACAGAGCATGAGGACCTGAACTGTGGCCCTGTGCACCCGGTACAGCAGGGAAGAAAGGAGGGACCCCCTCTGAGAGCCAGAGTCCAGGCTTGAAGAACTCAGCTGGCTTCTTACTGGCTGTGCAGCCTGAGGTGCTGGAGTTAACTTGTCCATGCCTCTGCTTCCCCATCTGTAAAATGGGGATAATAGCAGTGTCTGCCTCATTGGGTTATCTTAAATGAATACACATAAAATCCTTAGAGAACTGACAGTAAGCACTTGATAAATTTTGCTATTATTATTTTCCCAGAGGTAAATTGTATGACTTAGCAACTAGTTGAACTTGGGGGGGGGGGGGGTAAGGGAATGAATCAAAGATGTAATGACCATTAAAGGAATATGACAGACACCCGGAATTAATAATAGTAGTCAAAAACAACAGAAAAATAAAAATCACATGGAGATATTAGCACGTGACCAAGGGTTACTCTGGGACCCCCAAACTTGCACACGCTAAAGGGAGCCAGCCAGCCATGTGCACAAACACAAAGCATACTCTCAGTGTAAATGAATTTTAATAGAATTAATGTGCCTAGGGAGACAAGCGAGGGCAATAGATTCCCAATAAACCACCCAAAGTTATGATTCTCCTAATGGGTAAATATCCAGCAGAGTTTGCCCAAAGCAGGGACACTGAAGTCTGAAAACTACCACAGGTCTAAGAAGCACCTTTTGGTGGGGAACCATAAGAAAGGGGTTTAAAAACAAAAAGATTCATTTTATTTATTTATGCATCCAAAAACTGGGATACAGGCCAGAGTTATGGGGGGGTGAGAGGATTCACCAGAGACAGAGTGGGGAACAGAACAGGCAGACTGACTGAAATACACTGCTGAGGGGAGCAGTGGGCAGACAGGAGAGGTCTGCTGCACCATGCGGGTAGCTCCCTGGCCAGGGATCGAACTCGTGCTGCAGTGGCTGGCGATAGCTTGATAGTGTTGAGACTTTAACCCCTGAGCCACTAGGGAGGCCCAGGAAAGTAGTTTTGAAGCAAGTGCTAGAAAGCTGGGGTAATGGAGCAAAAAATCAAAGTACAAGTCAAGGTAAAAACTGCCATTTTCAGCTCCCTCGTGTCTCTCATCCACATGTCTTTTCCTTGTCCCCCAAGTCCCTGGGGCAAGTCCAAAGGCAAGAAGGAAGTGAGCCATTCTCCCTTTGTCTCTCCTGACTTCACCTGGCTGCTCAGCTCCGCCTATGTTAAAATAGGTCCCCTCAGAGAGGGACCTTCTATAGAATAAGTATTTATAATCTTTAAAAGTGTTAGAGAAACAGAGGAACTGTGCCACACTGAAGGAGACCATAGACACGTGACAACTGAAGGCAGTGTATGTTCTAAACATGATCCATTGGCTTCAGCGGGCGTTACTGTGTCAAGGGGAACAACTTGGAATTCAAATGGGGTCTGAGGACACAGTTTATGCAGCAGGATGGGTTTGGTTCCTTATTTGAAGGAACTGGAATGATATGGACTCAGCCTGACAATTTATTCTGAAAGTTTTCCAAAATTTCTTTGTTGCTCTATTGACAACTCTTCTGTAAATGTGTGCTTGTTTGAAAATGAAAATTATTTTGAAAATTAACCATTATCCTTGGTTGAGCAATCACTATATGTCAGCACTGTGCTCAGTGCAGATTTAGTTCCCCAGGAAACTTCTCTGATTTGCATTTCTGCCCAAATGTAGTCAGGTCCCTCTCCTCTGCACCCCGATAGCATCTTCCCACTAGACCACTACATGACAATGGCCTGTGGTCTGTCAGTAACAGCCTCCTCCTCAGCTACAGGGAGTCAACTCTTTGTGGTCAAGAACTGCATCTCACTAGCCAGTGGAACCACAGCTCCCGGTAAATGGTCAGCATCAAGGCGTGCTTGCTGAAGGAAGCAGAGGCCTGCCCATCATGTTGACGAGTCAAAAATGAGTCACCAGACTCAGGATGCATGTCTGATTCATGACTTCTTTTCTAGGTGGCCCTGGATCCGGCAAAGGCACACAGTGTGAAAAACTGGTGGAAAAATATGGCTTTACATACCTCTCAACTGGTGCACTCCTGCGTAATGAGCTGGCAACAGAATCTGAAAGGAGCAAATTGATCAGAGACATTATGGAACGTGGAGACCTGGTGCCCTCCGTAAGCATCAGCTGCCTTCCCGGGACGGGGAGATATTCTGAAGTGCACAATTATTCTAAGCTGTTAGGTCAAAAGAAGCCCCAAGGGACAATAGCTGTACCGAATCTCTCTTTTCTGCGACAATCCAGAGGCAGGCAGGAGGTCCACAGCACACAGCCTATCTGCCAGCCCAGGTTCCTTCTGTCTTGTTGCTCTGTCAGCCTCTTAAATGCTAGCCTATTTCATAAGCTCCCCCTCAACTGGTCCCCACTTTAAAGTTAAATTCTTCAAAGCAGAGAGGAATGTGATAGAGCAGAGCCTAGAATTAGAATGCTCTGAAAAATAAAAATAACATTTTTGTCTTGTTCTAGGAAGTATGATAGCACTATCTTAAAATCTGGCATCTTCCTTGTATGATTTAAGAAAAGCATATCCCTTTTGTGTATTTTTTTCTTTCAAGTCATCATCCATCTCTGACAAGCTGCATGCCATAGATATCAAAAAATATTCATCCCAACGTCCTATGTGGGACCCTGTAATTAGGGCTTCTATGGCACAGTCCTGTGAGCAAACAGAACTTTATCTTTCCTCCTTGACCAACTGCAATGTAGAAGCCAGAATGGTCCTCGTGAAAAGAGACACAGGAGACATAACATTGCAGTTGCCTCTTTGCTGGCCTTGTTGTGCCCACTCTTTTCACAGCAGCCAGAATGATTTCTTGAAAATGTTTATCACATTGTAACACAGTCATGTGTTGCTTAGACAGGGGTAGCTTTTGAGAAAGCCGTCACTGGGCCATTTTGTCATTGTGCAGACATCTAGAGTATAATCACACCAGACCAGATGATGCTGTGGCCTGCTCCTTTCATGGGCTGCATATGTAGCCAGTGTGGGACTACCATCAAATGTGTGGCCCATCGTTGACAAAAACACAGTTAAGTGGCACAGGACTGTGTTCTCTTCCCCAGGACTTTCCAATGATTCCCCATCAAACTTACAATGAAATCTAGAATCCTTCCCATGACTCTGTTCTCCAGCTCCTTCTCCAAAACAATTTCCCATCACTGTCATCGTGCTCACTCCCACCTGGCCCTGGGTCTTGTCATTGTTCCTCACACAGGCCGGACTGGTTCCTGCCTCAGAGCTTTTGCACTTGCCATTTCTTCAGCCTGAGTGCTCGCTCTTCCTTCAGACATTCACGTAGTTTGCTCCCTTCATCTAGATCTCTGTTTAAGTATCAGAAGTTGTCCGAGAGGCCCTTCCTAACTACCCTGTCTGAAATAGGCATTCTGTTTCTCTTTGCCCTGCTTTAGTTTTGTTCCTAGCCATTCTCTCTAGGTCTTTTTTATTTTTAAAGGGACTTTAGATATTGTTGACATTCCTTTTTATTTTTTTAAAGATTTATTTATTTATGTATGCAATACCTGGGGTGGAGGCCAGAGGTGCGGGGAGCGGCAGGGATATGCAGATTCACCAGAGGCAAAGTGGGGAGCAGAACAGGCAGATCTACTACTGAAACACACTGCTGAGGGCAGCAACAGAGGAGACAGGAGAGGTCTGCTGCGCCATGTGGGTAGCTCCCTGGCCGGCCCCAGAGATCGAACTCATGCTGCAGAGGCTGTGGATAGCTTCATAGTACTGAGACTTAACCCCTTGCACCACCAAGGAGGCCCTAGGTCTTTTTTATGTATCTATTTTTTTCATCTATTATCCATCTTCCTCACTATATACAAACTCATGAGGAGTTAATCACAATTATCTAGGGATAGATTCTGACCATCCTTGTTGGCTACATTCCGTGAGCCTCTTTGCCAAAAGCTGGGGGTGCCAGGGAGCCAGAGAACAGGGAACTAACCCCACTTTGGCTGTTGATTGCATTTTTCCTACACCCATTCCCAAGCTTCCATGTATCTGCCCTCTCTTATTTTTCATAAGCATGGGTTAAATAAAAAGCTTTAACTGAGAAAGTGATACTGCTAGAAAATTCTACTTTGCATCTACTGAAAATCTTGTCAAGTTAGAAGATCTCAATTTTATACAATATTCACTAAAGGAATCAACAGTGAAATACATGTTATACTATACTTTGCCTGGTTTTAAACTGCCATTATGCCTAATTCATGGAGTGCTACTGTATGAGAAATGGCTGCCATATTTCATCTAATCTAAGATGCCATTATTTTAAGACATAACTGGGAAAAATATATCTACGAAAAAAGCACAAGCAATTAAACTGTGACCCAGCACTGATTATAAGATTCCTACCACTTCATCAACATTAACGTGTGCGTGTTGGGGGAAGAGGGTGATGAGACTGTGAATTGATGCAATAAGGTTATATTATTGCTGTGTGCTATTGACCATCGCTAATCCTTTCTGTTTCAAAGGGATGACTAAGGAGATCTGTGATAATCGTAGTGTTGTTCATGGAAGAGCTCAGGCCCTAACCCCTCTTCCTCTGCTCCAGGGTTTCATTCTAGAGCTCCTGAAGGAGGCCATGGTGGCCAGCCTCAACGACACCAAGGGCTTCTTGATTGACGGTTATCCTCGGGAAGTGAAGCAAGGGCAAGAGTTCGGACATAGGGTGAGCTGTTGTAACAAGTATCACAAAGCAAAATCGGGAACAACATTGAGGTTGGGGGTAAATTCAAAGTTTATTTCTTCTCCAATCGTGCTAATTAAAAACTTTAGGTTACAAGTGACAGGAACTCAATACAAACTGACCAAAAAAAGAAAAGAAAAAGATGGTGGTGGTGGTGATAGTGCTTGATTTTTTGGTTCAGGTAACTAAGGTCCAGGAGTGGTTTACACTTGGATGAATTCATGTATTCAAATATGTTCATTCATCATCTCAGTTTCTCCATCTCTTGGACTTTCCTTTGTGTTGACCTCATTTTCTCCCTATTTCAGGCTTATAGTCCACCATCTCAGCGATCTCTCAAAAAAATATTTCTGTTTTCCAGTGGGTCTAACTAAAGACAAAGGGGTGCTTTCATTACCCCTGGGTTAAGTCATGGGTCTTATCACAGAAACAGTCCCGTGGCCAGAGGGAAGGTAGGAGAGCAGGAGATGGAATAATATGCAGGAAGACCTTGGTCCAGCCTGGAGAAGCAGGGCAAGGATAGCAGTGGACTATGGGTACACAGCTGAACCACATAGACTGGGAAAGGGAAAGGAAATTACCCAAGGAAAAGTAAGGATGCCCTTAGAAGAAGGCAGGGAAATGTATACTGAATGATCTGAATCAAATACATGCACCAATTTGATCTCCCAACATCCCAACCTCCCTAAGGCCTACCCTTTCCTAGTGAAGAGGGTGTGTCAGGCCTCTTGCAGGGGAACAGCAGTAAGTAAAAGCCTTTGTAACACAACCATTTATTGGGCCTTCCCTGGTGGCGCAGCGGTTGAGCACTGGGCTGTGAGGCTGCCCGTAGCAGCCCCTGCAGCGCCAGTTCGATCCCCGGCCACCGGCAAGGGTCCCACAAAAAAAAAAAAAAAAAAAAAAAACATTTATTAAAACTACCCTGGGCCAGATCCTGTGCTACACATCTTACACCACTGCCTCTAATTTGACAAAATCCAAACAAGAGTGAGACAATTGTCCTCCTTTGTTTAAAAATAGACTCCAGAATATACAAGTATTAGTATTCATGCAGATACATATTTAGGGTAGTGTTAAAATATTTTCATTTGATGTATTTTTTAAACAACCCTTTTAGATAGGTAGAGAAGGTATTTTCCTCACATTAAAGGTGATGAATTAAGCACAGAGAGGTGACATGATTTGCCCATGGTCACACAGCCAGTCAGTGACAATATATTGGTGACAGCTGATTGTGGAAATAAGATTTGGAGGATCCCCCTCCATCCAGCTCTAACACTACAATGTTGATTAAGGTGAAATATACTTGTCTGTCTCCTGGGGTCTGGTTTGACCTCCTTCTGAATCTTTGTTTCAATTAACTCCCTAAATAAATGGTCTCTTAATAGCTAAAACACAATTGTTTGCCTTCCCCTACGTTCCTGCTTACAACCAGACTCAGAGAAAAATTGCCTTAACTGTTAGCAAGTATTGACATCTGAATATTAAGTCTTCCATAGATTGTTTTACATTTTTGTCTGTTCAGATCTTTTAGCCAGTATTCAGGCAGTGGATAAGGTTCTTGGGCGAACCATCTTAGTAACTAAGGAACAGGGTTATTTTACCTGATGCCACCTTAGAATTAAGACTTGTACAAGGCGGAAATTGAGGGGGAATGGAGAGAAGAGGAAGGTGTGTTTGGGTCTTAGAGGTACTCCCTACCTAGAGGGGATTGACTTATAATTAAAATACAGCAGGAGATGTGCTTGGCTGGCTGCTAAGGGCTTAACAATGTTTATTGAGGTTCAGGCTTCAGATGGCAGCACCCCAAGCAGTGAGTTCATACTTACTTGCCTGTGACTTTGTCTGAAAAGCCCGAGAGGGCTGAAAGTGGCCCAGGATCTCTTGCCTTTAAGTGTGGGAGGTGGGGGAGGGGTTGGGAAATGTTTTCAAAAATTTATTTTTGCTAATTGCTCTCAGAAGTAGTAAGATATTCTTATGACACCCCAAATGACCAAATGTAATAAATAAGATGTGTGGTACAGAATGTGCATCTCTTTGTCAACTACTTCTAAACAACAACAAAATTGTACTTCTCTTGGGTCTTTTTTTAAAATGGGTCTGAAGGTAAATCCCTGAATTTAGGCCAAAGGGTTCCAAATTGCTTGGAGTGGTAATGACACTCACATGGAGTCTCTCAAGGTAACCTCTTTAAAGCACATCACCCATGTGCTCTAAGAAAGGCTGGCTTTTCACCTCTGCTGTATGTTCGCATGACCCTGGGCAAGTCACTTTGCTTCACATCATTCCTCTATAAAATGGAGATGATAATAATAGCCGCCAAACCTCTTGTAAAGGATTTTTTGAACATCAAATGATATACATTACTGTGTTTTCTGAGCTATAAAAGGCTAGAAGAGATTATCTAGATGGCCACTCATTTTTGCTTTTGTTTTAATAAAAGGAAAGGCCATGTAGAAGTTTAATAACAACGTATGTATCTCCTCCGTACCTGGGAGACCCAGTATGACTGAGTAACTCACTCACGTGGCTCTAGATGTCAACTTTTGGTTGTTGCTATTGTTTGATATTAGTTTATTTAGGGGTTTCATTTACACTCATCAACAGGTTTTTTGAATTTCTCACATGCTTCTTCATTCATTAGTTCATTGAGTTCTGGAGGATGACTCAGGTTACCTTGGTCAGCCAACCATTTTCAAAACAAGTCCAGATTTTCTGAAAGAGTTTTATTCTTTTCTGCTACTTCTCCTAATAAAGAAGAGGAGAGATCACTAACAGCTTTCACACTTTGCATAGCACCAACTCATCTTGTGTGTTCAATTTTGTCCCAACTTCTGGCAGACTTTAAGTAAACAACATCTCCCAAAGCTTCCTGTGCAAAATTGCTATTTCCCACTCTTCTAATACTATTTTCTGTTGATAGCCATTCACATTTTTCTGTGAATTTATGCCCTGAAAGCATAGAAATGCCCATGTGCACCATGCAGTTGGCAGCTCCCCACAGCCCCACAGCCACTGAGGACATCGAGGTGGCACACAGGCTGCAGGCTGCAGCTGGCTGCTCAGCACCAAGTGCTAGATGCCATCTTCAGTAGATAAGCTAAGACCTTGGAGACTGGGGAAGTCAGCTAGGGTGTTTACTGGGAAAAAGAGATAAGGGGTAAGTCTCCCTGGAATAGACCCTTACAGAAGCCTCTGGTTTTATTTGTTTAATCATACCTCATACAAAACTGTAAGTCTCTGCTCCATCATACCTTTCTCCTTTGTTTATAACCCAGTCACAGAGAGCTAAAGACATTAGACAGCATACTGGTCTACCCCTGGTCTTTGGGTATGTAAGAACTGAAATCATTCACATGATCTTCTCTAAAGTAAAGCAAAACTTCCTTTCCCACTGTGGCAATCTTTCAGAAGGGTTTTTTTTAGATGTGACACAGAAGAGCTTGGGAATGAGAAAGTCATCAACATAATGACTGAAGTTTCAAGCATGCAAAATTCCATGATGCCATTTCAAGAAACATATGAGTCCCCATCAGGATTGAACAAATAGCATTCAAGTAATATGTCTGCAAAGACGTCTTTTACACACTGCTGGAAGGAGTTTGCAAAGCCCAAATGCAACATTGATTTGTCCCTGTGAACAATAACTTTAGAAGATTCTAATGTCAGTTAGGCTTCTGTGCAAGAGAACATATCCACCATCCAACACAAACACCTGCTTTTAACCCAACTGGAAGATCAAACATGCTACAAATACAGAACAAGCCACTATTGATTCATTTATGCCCTGCAGGGACCCCATCATTTGATCAGTTCCCTCCAAATTACAGTCAAGTAATTAATTTGAAATTTTGCAAAGATAAATATGGACACACGATTTTCCCCAGAGAATGAGTGCCATCATCCTGGCTGAGAACACAGCAAATGTCTCTTGAACACCCGTCAGGTCTGCAATGATATTTGAAGCCCAGTCAGGCCTGTGAACAGTTTTAACCAGCCTACAAACTCCCACCAGCCTTTCTGTTTCACAGATGTGCCTGATGCTGAGGACCATCTGTTATTGAAGAAAAATTCAGCTCAGTTAGTTAAGCTGACACTTGCCTACCTCTGAGTTCTCAGAGATGCAAGTCCTTTGAGGATTTGCTTCTCCACATGAACTCACTAAAGACCAAACCAAAATTATGTCCACAGCTTAGGTAAATCCATGGGTAATTTCTCCATCACCTTTTAAGGGGATGAAAAATCAAGTCTGATTTTCCCCCCATTGAATTAATGATTTCGCCTTTGATATCCAATATGGAAGAGAAGTACACATGTGTGCTTGCATGTGTGTTTGTAGGTGTGTGTGATGGGGCAGAAGGAATGAATAGAAGGAGGAGTTGGGGTTTCCCATCAGCATTCCCATCTCCCACCCCAACCAAGAACCCCTAACTTTGATTTTGGTGTTAACAGGCCTGTATTCAGAGCCTGGCGTTGTAACTTACTGGCATGTCATTTATCTTTCCATATGTCAATTTCCTCCTCTATAAATGGACATTGAAAATAGCCTCCTTGACACTTGTTGAGAAGTTTGGATGGGTTCCTTGAAAAATGGCTTACGCATTTATAAGCCAGAATATGTTGTTTAATAAATTTTTGTTACAAACTTTTCAAAGTTATGTGTATTTTTTCTGACTATAGAAATAAAAATTATATAGATATAATACAGAAAAGCATAAAACAAAGAATAACTACCCAGAGAACACACCTATTAACCTTTGATGTATGTTCTTCTAGTCTTTGTTCTACCCATTTTTATATAGTTAAAACCAATCAGAATACATAACTAAAAGAATAATGGCTGTTATTTTTTGAGCACTCAAATCGTGTCAAGAACTGAACTAGATGTAATTTTATTCATCTTTACAATCTTTCAGTAGGTATTATTAGCCCCACGCTATGGATTATCATCATCTCCAGAAGGGGTGTGTGCTTAGCCTGACTCCCTTGTGTGAAATTGAAACGCTTTCCTCTATTAACCCAATCTTGTGCTCAACAGCAGCCAAACAAAACACATATTAACAGAAGTGAGGTGTATACCTTTGCTCTTGGCTTTTCCCTCCCTGGAGCCTCTTAACTGAAATCCTGCACTTAGCCTGAATATGCACGTAATTTCCCAGATTTTTGTAAGTGATGACATCGTTATCCCTCTGCCTAACTACTTTCAACTCTCTCCTAACACCTTTCATCTACAGATCAGTGATTCTGTTTATAAATACATTCTCATCTTCACGATGAGTTCTTAGAAAGAACTTATGAGTTGGCCAAGAAAATGTCTAGTTGGTGTGTTCTAGTTGGAATTGTGGGGAACCTTGTAGATAGAGAAGTACAAGGGGAAATTCCCCAACCCCTCTGGGTTCTTCTTAGGCTGATCAAACAACCAATTAATATCTGACAGAAGAGTAGGAGAAAAAGATTAAATTTAGTTACATACCTATGGAGAACTTTCATGCCTGTAAATTCTAGAGTGAACGTGACAAACTGGGGATTTAGATCTTGAGCTAAGGGATGGAAGGGTCTGAGGCATCAAGGAGCGAGATGGGGGGGCCTCACATGAAAAGAAGGGGATGGCTTCGTATGACCAAACCTTGCTTCTGTATGCTTGCCCTGCCTTAATAGGTTTCTCCAATTAAAAAAAAAAAAAAAAGTAGGTGATTTGTGGAGATCACCTTAAATACAAGTAATATCCATTCTTTAAGGTAATGCTAACAGTTTACCTTAAGAACCATGCAACCTTGACTGACCTTAGCTTCACGTGCCAAGGTGACCTATACTGGAAAAAAACCTGCTTGGGCCATCTTGAAAATTGCCTATAGGAACATTTTGGGGGAAGTCAGTCCTACAGGAACCACCTTGGCGTTTTCCACTGGAGATTTTCTCTTCTCTTCTTCTGACTTCTGGCTCGTTATTGAACTTTGAGCTGTGCCATGGTGGTATAGGCATGGCAGTGAGTATTATCATAATCAGGGTTGTATGTCTAGGAATTCTAGAATGAACCAAATAACCCTCCTCTAATGAGGCATCCAAAGGATTACCTCAAGGGTGAGTGCAAGTGGGAAGTAGGTGTGTATTATGTTGTTAGCCAGAGAGGCCTTACTTCCCAGTACAGTGAGACTGGTAAGTGTGCTGGGACATGTGATTGGGCTGGAAGCCAAGCTGGGTCCTTGACTCCAAACCCAAATCTGACCAATGGGGGACTGCATGGCTCAAAGAGATGAGTCTGTTTCCAGGTCCACATTAAGTAATACTGTCTCCATTTATGTAATACCCAAAATGGGCCAAGTTCTTAAGTATCAACTCATTTATTCTTCACAATCATCCTAGCAGGTGGAAACTATTATTATCCTCATTTTAAAAGGAGAAAACTGAGGCACAGAACAAGATAGCTGCAATTCTCAACAAAAGAGTTTCTGGAAGGCATGACCCTGCTCACTGTAAATATAGCCCAACTGGCATCCTGACTTAATCTGAAGAAAACTTAAGTTTTAAGGGGTCAGAAGAGAGCAGGGTTAACTCCTCCTTCTGCCACCATTGAGCCATCCAACACGGCCATGATCACAAGTCAAAGGGCTTCTCCCAGTAGGTTGCTCTCTCGCTCTGGGGACAAGGGTGAGTACTGGTCCCAATTAAATCCCAAGGGGCAGCTTCTGCAAAATAAAATTGGCAAGTATGACCTCTGACTCTCTCACTTCCTTTCCCACTTCCTGCCCTCCACTCCTGGCTCCACTGGGACACAAGCATCTGGTCTGAGCCCATTCTGAAGCTTCCGGGACCCTCCATTAGGGTGAAGTTACCAAACTTTGGAGTTACACACAGCTTGGCTCAGGACTGTCACTAACTAGTCCTCAGTGACCTTGGGCAAGTTAGGCTCTATGAACCTCCATTTCTTCCCCCACAGGGGTGCTGAAAGGGTTAAAGAGATAATTGCATGTAAAAACCCTTCCCACATTATGGTCAGCCTGAAATGTGGCTGCTGGTGGGTGTTTCCACCCTTCCAAGCCATTTGATTTCTAACAGAGGTCCCTGAGGACCCAATGGCTATGAAAACCCAATAATGCTGGTGGCAGAATTCCAGGGACACCAGCAGGGTGATGTTGGGGGCAGGGAGTTATCCCCAAGTCTCTGTGATCCACTGAGACATGGACAGGATCTTTACATTCTGGCTCACATGATGTTAAGGGCTAATCACAGCCCAGGGAATAAGCAGCAGAGCCTGGAACCAGAGGGCTGCACTAAGACACTTTTCTAACGGTATAATCGAAGTGTTTTAGGGGGAAATGATATTTCATTCAAACATTTCTTTTATGTTAGATATTAAGTACAGCAGTGATATCAACCACTTCCAGGTGGCTCGAGAGTTTTTTTATGTAGGAAGGTAGGGCCCATTCCAGGAGAGACAAGTCAGGTCAAAGCCCATAGTCTTGGCATGAGGAAATGGCCTGATTAGAGCAGCTTCTCAAACTATTATTTTGTGAAGATTTGCCTGAGGATCTTCTACAAACCCGAGGTGTGATTGTCTGAGACTGTCAAGGATGGCGTTTGAGACTACATTTCTAACAAGTTCCCAAATCATATCAGAGCCGCGGTGCCTGAACCCCTTTGAGTACCAACATGGGAGATGAGGCTACTTCTCAGCCTGTGTTCAGTTTGGTCCAGAGGACAATTCATTTCCTACCAGCTCCTGCTCGGATATTCATATCTCTGTTTGTACCTAAATAAGTCCCTTAATTTTTCTTCCCTGTCCCCAAGACTGGCCTAAAAACCCCTGAAATTTAAAAATCAGCCTTATCTTCCCAGATAACCCCCCGGGGAGACTGCTCCAGGGAACCCAACTCTCTATCTTGGCCAGAGGCTGCCTCTCCAGCACGCCCTCTGCTGGTGGAAAAAGGTCATTTCCTTCTACACCATCATTGAACCTTTCTTGCTGTTCAGATGCTCTGTTTTTCCTCCTATTAAAGCAAGCAAAAAATATTGCATGCATTACATAGTATGAGATTTTGTTCACTTTACTATATTTTGGAGAATTTTTCCACTCTGTTCCTTGATTACATCCTTCAGAGGGATAGATAAACATTTGATAATGCTCACTAGCCACTTATGTTTTCATGTGGCCTAGGAGTCCTCCCTGCCCTGACTTAGTTACTATCCATTCCACATACTTTCAGTGGGAGGGGACAGCAAGATACTCATTGACTCATAGCCATGCCTTTGCAAGATCAGGAGTTTCTTTTGATTCAGGGTTGCAGTTGGTAATGGAGGCAACACAGAGACATCGGGAAGGAGAGAACACTTAAGAAAAGGATGGGGGAGAGAAGATCCATCCGACTTTTCTTATCACTATCCTTCATACATTATAACATTTCCTTTTTTTTAAGGTTGATTTATTTATGCATACAAGAACTGGGGTACAGGCCAGATGGGGGGGGGGGTGAGTGGATTCACCAGAGACAGATTGAGGAGCAGACAGGCAGATCTGCTGAAATGCACTGCTGAGGGGAGTAGCGGGGGAGGCAGGAGAGGTCTGCTGCACCATGTGGGTAGCTCCCTGGCCACGGATCGGATTCGTGTACAGTGGCTGCCGATGGCTTAATAGCGCTGTCCTTAACCCCTGCTCCACCAGGGAGGCCCTCATTAAAACATTTCTTTAACCTCCTACTTTATGCAAGAGGTGGGAACAGACACTGAGCACCCCTAACCCCTGCTCATCAAGAGCTGGCTGGCAGCCTGACACAGGAAAGCAACACAACAACTGATACTTACTGAGCATTTGCTGTAGATCAAGCAACATACTTTCATTATCTTATTTAATTTTATTCCATCTTCACAGCAATTCTGTAAGCATTGGCATTGTATGAATGAAAAACAGGTGCAGAAAAGTTGAAGTTAAGTGGCAATTTTGGTTAATGATCAAGTTAGCTTAAAATAACAATTTCTTTTCTTTAATAGGCTTCTGGGTTGATGGACTTGGCTGCCTGGTTCTCACTTGGGGTCTTTATAAATTGCTGCCAGAGTGTACACTAAGTGTACACATCTGGAGCTGGGCTTGGGTGTCTAAAACAGACAAGGGCCAGCTGGGCCTCTCTGTCCACACGGCCTCTCCATGGAGCTAGCTTGGGCCTCCTCACAGCTCAGTCAGCAGCTGACCAGGCAGAACTAAAATATTTCTTATGATCTTCCTTCTAAAAGCATGTGGCAGCATTTCCACTGCCTTCTGTTAGACAAAATCGTTACAAGTCAGCTCAGATTCAAGGTGGTAGAAGAATGGGTTCTGTGGCTAGCAGGGGAAGAACTTAAAGTTAGTTCACCAAGACAGGGAATTGAGGAAGACTGTCTTGAAGTCAAATCACCACAACAGGATTTGACCCTGAGAGCATGGCTTTAACCTTTGCATGCTTAACCATTGTGCTCTCCTTACCCGTGCGTAAAACGTGGTCACACTATGCTACCAGCCACTAGCAACAGATAAAATATTAGCACAAAGGAGGAAGTGATCAGCTCTGCCACAGTAGGTCAAGGAAGGTTTCCAGGAGGAAACCACACACACACACATGCACACATGCACACACCTCCCTATGGTGTGGAGGACAGATTGAGTCTGCCCTGGGTATCATATAAAACCTGCATTACGTGAGGTGACTTAAAAGCTGAGGGCAAGAGATGGCTGTGAGGCAGCATATGGAAAACCACTGACCTGGACATGGGGAGCCATGAAGTTCAGTCCCATTTCCACCGTGATGAGGTTCTAAGGCCTTGAGATCAGTCAGAAAGCCAAGAAGGGAAAGAACCAGGGCCTGCAGCCTTTCCAGAGCCCCTCTGTGGAGTGTCTGACTGTCGTGTCCTCCACCCCTAGATTGGAGACCCGCACTTGGTGATCTGTATGGACTGCTCGGCGGACACCATGACCAACCGCCTTCTGCAGAAGAGCCAGAGCAGCCCTCGTGCGGGCGACAGCACCACCACCATCGCCAAGCGCCTTGAAACCTACTACCGAGCGTCCATCCCGGTGATCGCCTACTACGAGACGAAAACTCAGCTACACAAGGTGAGTCCTTTTGCTCCCCACCTCGCCAAAATGAGCCTGTTGCAGATTCTTTTCAAGAGACAAGAAGAAAATAGGGAACATTCTCATTAGGGAGGCTGGGAATTCCAGCCTCAGAGAGCTGAAAATTTGGGGGCAAAACGCGACCCTTATTCTCTTCACATTGAGGTCAGTTAAAATTGAATATCTGTCATGATATGGAACCTACAATTTGTATAAAGGCCGTGTGGGTGCTGAAAACAACTCCTTTTTCCAAGAAAGTGGGAGGGAGGGAGGAGGGAGAGTGACTTTTTCTGTGTGACCTCTGACCTCTGCTGAACAGGATGATCCAGAAGATATCTTTGAGATCCAAGATTCAACAACTTTGAATTTCTAGATTTTTGCATTTTTCATAATCGACACCTGCCTCAGCCTCAATTTATTGCAGTAACTAATGCAATTAGGTAGGAGAAGCAGCACATGGGCCAGAAAAGCAGGTAATTAAATGAAAGAAGATACTGTGGGGGCACGGGAAGTGTCAACTCAATGATCATCAGCAATAAACCGTGCTGAGTCACCACTGATTTCAAGAGGTTCGGGAAACTACCTAGTCCACATTCACTTGTTCACTTAGATAAATATGTGTCAAGCATCCCAATGAGCCAGCCACCCATGGCCCTAACAGGTTCGGAAGCAGATAATAAGAAACATTTTTTGCCTCCTAAAGTTTAGGGTTTTAGTTAGGGGATATGGACAAATTGATATTCACATTATGGGGTTAATGTTATGGCAGTTTCCCAGAGAAGTCAGACAGCACTCAGAGGGGTAGAGAGATTTATTTGTCGCACTGGAGGGCTCAGTAAGATATCTCCCAAAATTCTGAACCCTGAATTGCAGGAATGATAAGGATTTTTGCAGTTCGTATGTGGAAGCTTGTCACCTTTCATAGACTTTCTTTCTAGTTTGGGAAGGGGGTCAAGGTAGCCGTAGCTACCCCTATGGGCACGCAGCACACAGGAACTTTTCCTCCAGCAAGCAGCAGAATCCAAGCAGCAGACTTAGCAACTTCCTGCTTCATTAAGAGAGCGCAGAGTGAGTTCTGGAGTCCCTTGATCTAAAGGGAATGGAAAGGGATTGAAGAAGGTTGCTGAGGAGAACTAAGCTGCTGAATCCCAGGGAAGGGGGTGCGGTGAGGAGAGCAGGGCAAGCCACAAGGAAGAACTCCAAATGAAAAAGGTCAAGAGCGGCAAGGATCTCAACTTGGCTATGACATAAAGTGCCAAGGAAATGAGGAATAAGAAATGGGAGTGGACCAGAACAGATGACTGGACCGAGAAGATGTGTCTGTGTACACAGTGGAATACTACTTGGTGATCAAAAAGATAAACTCATGCCATTTGTGGCACCATGGATGGAGCTAGAAGGGGTTATGCTAAACAAAATAAGTCAAAAGGAAAAAGGTAAATATCAGATGCTCTCACTTATATGTGGAATATAGAGAAGCAGAACAAAAGGTCAAGAAAAAAGACAAAACTTGCAAGCTGACCATAGATCTGAGGCACATAGCAGGGGAGGGGACGGGAGAGGGGTCAAAACAGGGCGGGAAGAGCATGGGGGATTAGGATGATGGATCACGGGTGCTACGGTGGTGGGAGAACTATGGGGACTACACCTGAGGGTAGAATCAAGTACTGTAAAAAAAATTAACAACGGGGTCTCCCCGGTGGCGCAGCGGTTGAGTGCTGGGTTGCGAAGCTGCCCAGGGCCTCTGCGGCGCCGGTTCGATCCCCGGCTGCTCCCCGGCCACCGGAGGAGGGTCCCACATGGCGCGCAGACCTCTCCTGCCGCCCGCTGCTCCCCTCAGCAGTGTACTTCGGTCCTTCTGCCTGCTCTGCTCCCCGCTCTGGCTCTGGTGAATTCTCTCACCCTCCCGCGCTTCTAACTGTACCCAGTGCATGTGTAAACAAAACAAACAAACAAACAAATAAATAAATAAAACATGCCTCTATTTAAAAAAAAAAAAAAAATTAACAACGATAAAAGAAAATAAATTAGTATTTTTTTTTAAAATAGAGAGATGGGAGTGGTGAGCCCAGCAAGGACCAGATCAAGATGAGTCTATCATAGGAGTAAATAATTGTCCTGAGGATGTTGGGAACTACTGAGAACAAACATGAAGTGTGAATTTAGAAAACTCACCCCAGGACCTCCCTGGTGGTGCAGGGGTTAAAGACACAGCACTATCAAGCTATCACCAGCCACTACAGCCTGAGTTTGATCCCTGGCCAGGGAGCTGACCCACATGGCGCAGTAGACCTCTTCTGTCTGACCTGCTGGTCCTCTCAGCAGTGTATTTCAGTAGATCCACCTGTTCTGCTCCCCACTCTATCTCTGGGGAATCCTCAGCCCCCGCACCTCTGGCCTACACCCTAGTTCTAGTATGCATAAATACATAAATCTTTTAAAATAAATAAATAGAAAGCTCACACTATCCGTTTTATGGAGAACAGATCCTAAGAAGGTAAGGCCAGGAGACCACTCGGAGGCTGGGACTGTAATCCAGGAGTTAAGTCCTGTGGACCCACAGCAGACTAGGGAGAATGAATGTCTGCTTCTGTTCTTCACAGAAAGTTAATCAATCAACCAATAGCTAACAAACTTGTCTCTGAGGTAACTTCATTATCATTTCCTTGGGGGGAACTGTTGATAATGAATTCTTCTAAACCTATTAATGGCCCATTTTCTGTAATCTTAAGAATTTAGCACTGGGTCTAGAAGACTGAAAGGTGCCCCTTGCTTTAAACAGGTATGTCAATTATGTCATCACCAACTTCCGGGGGCCCAGCAGACATTGTTAACCCATCCAGTCACTCTTTAATGCCGTGTCCACATGTGTCCTCCATGTTTGTGAACACAGCACTACTGGGAGCTACTGCCAATTGTAGGACTGAATGTGCAGGAGCACATGGGTACAGAACTTACCTATGCTATGCTTTGTGGACCTCTGGTTGTCACAGAAAACAAAGACTTAGCTCATTGCAAACAAGCAAACAAAATGTACTTTACTTAAGTCAAGGTCTTAAGAGTTCAGGGTTGTAAAGAAATTGCCGCAATTAGTGAGAAGTCTTTCTTGTGCACAGATTAGTGCACAGATTTCCACCCTGTGCAGCGTGGAGCACACTCAGAAATCATCTGGACAGAAGGGAATTTCTTTCAAGATTTGGAGAGGCGAGAAAAATCCCTAAATAATTCACAGTTTAACAACTTTCAGAGCCAGGAAATCCCTTTTATCTCTCTGTTGTATTATTTCCACCTAAATTCTATATACTCACAAATGACAGGCACATGGATACAGAGCTAACCAAGCACTCAGATAAATTCAATTTCTGGAATCCCCCTTACAAATATCTAAGTTGAAGAAAGTCTCCAGTCCCACTGGACTCACGTCCTCCATTTCTTCTGTATTTTTCTAGTAAGTTAGAAATAGGAAAAGATGCCCTAGTGGGGTGTAGGGAGAACCACTCTTGACTTTTGTAAATCATGACCCTGTAGCAGAAGGACAGATGTCTGTTTTTCTAGTCATGTTCTGTGTCAAGAGCAGATAATGGGGGCCTCCCTGGTAGCGCCACGGGTTAAGATGCAACCTATGAAGCTATCCGCAGCCTCTGCAGCACAAGTGCAATCCCCGGCAGGACAGGGAGCTACCCACATGGCTCAGCAGACCTCTCCTGACTCGCCCGCTGCTCCCCTCAGCAGTGTACTTCGGTCAGTCTGCCTGTTCTGTTCTCCATTCTCTCTGGTGAATCCTCTCACCACCACCACCCCCACACACCTCTGGCCTGTACCCCCCCCCCCAGCTTTTGTATGCATAAATAAATCTTTTTTTAAAAAAAGAGCAAATAATGGAATCTAGTTCCATTGGCAATAATTAACAATCCAAGTTTTCAGAATTCCTGTGACTATTCACCTTTTACTTGTTCTCAGTGGATATTGTAGTGGGAAGTTGGGAGAGGCTATTTCAAGGCCAGATTCCATGCACCAGAAAGCAAGGGGGTTGTTGTTTCCCTTGGGAGTCTCTGAAAATCAAGAAGTTAAGTGGGGGAGAGCATTAGCAGTGAGTTAGTGGTGCTAGCAGTGTTAATACTGTCACGTGTTCACATTAGCGACTGAGGTTAGATTTATTTGAAAGAATTTTTTTAAAATCACTGAAGTAATAAATGTTCTCTATAAAAAGCCAAAAGTAATGCTATATCTACATATAAGTATATGTAGATGCATATATAAATGCCTATATAAAGCAATTAACAATGCCCCTTCCAACCTAACGCCCCTCAAATAAACAGTATAGTTTATTACATAATTTTTACCTCTTTTCCTCTCTCTCCCTTCCCTCTTCTCTCTCTTCCTCCCTCCCTCCTCCTCCTGCTATTTATGCTCCTGCTCCTCCACTTCCTCCTCCTTTGCTCCTCCCTCCCAGTTCATCCCTCTGACATCAGTCTATCTACTCTATAAAACACGCACACCCTACTTCTGATTTCATGAAAATATTATATCCCGTACACATTTCTCTGAAACATTTGGAGGTCAACACATAATGCAGTCATGCTTTCCTTTTAAAAGTTATATAATATTTCATAATATGGATATTCAATTGTTTGTTCAGCCATTCTGTTTCTAGTTCATTTTGGTGGATTTTGCCTATTACAATTACATAGTAAGCAAGCACCCTTATGCGTTTGCTTCTAGATTAATGCTCTGTTTATTTTAAGCAGAAGCTTTATTTTTTTAAAGATTTATTTATTTATACATACAAGAGCTGGAGGTGTGGGGAGGGTGAGAGGAATCACCAGAGACAGAGTGGGGAACAGAAAAGGCAGATCAACCGAAGTACACTGCTGAGGGGAGCAGCGGGCGAGTCAGGAGAGGTCTGCTGTGCCATGTGGGTTGCTCCATGGCCGGCCAGGCCAGGGATTGAATTCATGCTGTAGAGGCTGCGGACAGCTTCACAGGCTGCGTCTGTGCCA